AACCAAGGCAGATTTCGACCAGTGACCTAGCAGTGTGGGATCACTGCTGCTTACCAGTCCCTGCACCGTTCAATCCTCCCAGGTAGGACTGGCAGCTCTGGCAGCTGTGCAGCCTTTGCAGAGTACGCTTGAGCTGCCTAGCCCTTCTAGAGAGAGACAGCTCTTGCACAAACACATCGGTAAGAGTTTTAAATAAATCCCTGGAATACTAATGAATCGAAAAAGCAGCACTCTGCATTTAATTGCTGGCCTCTACTCCTCCCTCCACCCTGTGAAAAGGAGCATAAAAAATAAATAAAATGCAGCATTGGCTTGTTGATGTCAGAAGAGTAATTCAGTAATACAGCTTCCCACTCAGTGCATAAGAACATGTGAATTGCTGAATTCAGGTCTCTCAGCCTGCTTTGCCTATTGTAGCTCTTTAATCTATGCACAGGCTGCTTTCTCCTTACTCAGCTCCACGGCCAGCACAGTGATGTTGTGCCAAGAAACGTCCTCCCGGTCAAGAGGTCTTGCAGTCATCAGTGCTCCTGATGTAATGTCGACATAAAAGAACCGCCCTGGATCACTGCTCCTGTCAATCGAGTATCTGCAAGAGTACGCATTAAAAATATTATGCAATCCTTGTAAAAACTGTGTTATAGCCAACAAAGCACCCCATCAGTGGGAATACTGTCATACACCGCGGATTCATGTTCTTCCACAACCTGGTTAGCTGTGTGCTCTATTGACTTGCACAAGTACAGAACGGGATGCTGGAAAATCGTGTGGTTAATGGCATTTAACAGCGAGTACTACTTGCGTGGAGCTGGAAGACAGGAAGATTTAGAGGAAGGAGCCTCAAAGCAAAGCACAGCTCGGCTCGGGAACGTCTGCTTCACAGAGAAAATCTGTCAGTGAGGAGTGCGTTTTCTTTTTCTAAGCAAAATAATTATGCCCCTTCCTTGGGCACAACTCAGATAGGCTGAAAATGTCTTCACATCAGCTCGTTCTCTGGGCACCTAGGCTGGTGAGGAGGAACTTTTCCCTTCCTCATGTTTCTCTCCTCCTTGAGGGGAATAAACTCCTTCTGCATCCTGGCCCATCCCACTGACTGGGCCATGTCAACACGGGGGGATGATGACTGGCTTGCTCGTATCACCCAGCCAGAAAAACAGCTCCCTCTGCGAGGTTGATTCATCACAATTACTGAACCTGCCTGGCCAACATCATCTCAATTCAGTGCTGGGAACAAGTGAGAAGCAGGGAAGCGTGGTGGTACCTGCAGGCCAGAAAACTCAGGCAGGGAGGCAGCTGATTGACAGCTGTCACTGCTGTACTCGGCCAGAGAGACCGTTTTTGCAGGGTTTTTTAAAAACTCAATGTGCTTCATCACCTTGCTCTTAACAGCAGTTTGCAAGAATTTTCTTCCCAGCTAGCTATGTTAGCACGGTAAGAGATCCTTTGGCAAAAGCCATACATGTGCCTAAACGCCACAGCCTGGAACAGAGCCCAGACTTGTTCTCATTTTTGTTGATTCTGTCTTTGAAGTTGATGGGAATCAAAAGTATTAGTCATAATGGATGCTGAATAGGGCTCATTATTCTGAATTTTCTCCTTTCTGCACAAATGCATTCACTGGAACAAGCATGTTAGCCTGATCTTTATATAGGGATTTATTAACCTGGGATATAAAATACTACTGAGCGATGTTGCTGGGAAATGCTCTTACGCTTTTGTTTTTTAGAAAAATCAAAGAGGGTGGGATGGCAGGTTTGCTTCTCTTTCCTTCCCAGTCCTTCCCATCTCTCCTTAAATAGGGAGATTTCTGAGGAATTTGATTTATTTAGGGAATAAGTACGAGTGTTGCTATATTTTGCTATAATAATTATTCTTGTATGAGGGCTATAAAAAGAATTTTTGACAGTTTAAGGCCAACGAGTATCTGAAATGGAATATGGTCTTGTGATTAGTGGTGCGGTATTAATCACCTGTGTCAAGAGGCACAGGTGGAGTCTTTGTCTGGATTCTCCACATAAGTTCTCCTGTTAATAATGCCTGCTCCTTCCCACTCTTTTCCACTGTGCTTGCTAGGTAATCTTCCTGAATTGCTTAACAACAACCATGGCATATTTCCATCCACCAGAATTTCACAGTGTGGAAGTCTGGATACTGACCACTGGGAAAATTCAAGAGCTTCCCCATGTTTAGTGAGCCCTTCCGAAATGCGTCCTGGCTCTTCCATGCTTGAAAAAATGGCAAAAGGAGGGGTCAGATCACAGTTTTAATTTCAGTTGGATTTCACCTGATGTAACAAAATGTGTATCTGGGATTTTGTTTTTCTTTTCTTGCCTTGCCCTCTGCAAAGTGAACGCAGAGCAAGCCTAAAGCATTGCCAGACTGGTACTGCACAGAGCTGGCATGGATGGAGGAGACCACGTACGAGGCAAGGAGAAGCAAATCTTAACATCTGCATTTCAGATAGCCCTTCAAATGGTGTCTATTCTTTTTTTTTCCCCGTTTCCTCTACCCCAGTCATTTACATTTGTAGGTACAAGGTATGGGGGAGGAAGGAGGGAAGAAAGGAAGGAAGCTGGGAAGGGAGGAAGATGGGAAGAAAAGGAGGAAGGAAATTGGGAAGAAACAGAGTTACAAAAGAGTCTACGCATATTTGCAACTGTTTTTTTTTTTAATATATTTTTTGTGATGCATTCTGTGCTTTATGGAGTGCTATTTCATCAAGGGTAGTCACTGGAAAGCTCTGAAGAAAACTAAGAAAAACCTCATTAAAAATAACAATGAACACTTCTACCCTCTGATAATCTGCAGAATTATTCTTACACTATTTTAAGCAGAGTAGCACAAAGCTGTTTGCGCTGCCGTGTTTGGATAATGCTAGACAGTAATCAACAAAATAGGTTGCAAGTGGAAAAAAAGGCTTGGGTAATGAAACTGTGATGCAGACAGTGTAATACTTAGTTTTATTGAAGAATCTGAGACAATGTCATAAGAAGTATGATAACCTTGTATTATAGGTAGAAAAGATAGGTATATTAAGGTAGCAGAGATGAAAAAAATAATTGGAGCAGCAACACAGAAAGCAATATCATTAAGAACAGGCTTTGTGCCTGCTCTGATCTCCTAGCTGAAGCCCACAGAGTTGCTCATATAGATTTCACTTTCTTCAAAAACTCCGAGCACTCTATGTTTCGACTCCCTCCTGTATTTTCCGGGACTGGTCCCGAACGCAGGCATTTCAGAAGCTGGGTTGACACAAGGTTAGGCAGCTCCACACCAAAAGCACTTCTCAGATGAGAGAAGCAGCCAACCTGCTGGGATGATTACCTTGCAGTCACCCAGAGCTTCTGCAGGTTGTGAAAATTAGTGTGTGGGCTGGCCTCAAAGCCGGTCTTCTCTGCTAAACTGGGCTGCCTTGGCAGCCACCATGGAAAAGAGCGCTGTGATCACACAAATCTGCTCCTTTGGCTCCTTGCTGATTTGCAGCTACGAAGTTCCCGTGGCTGTAAATACATCTTTACCTTTCCTAACTCCTTGTGGGAATACCTAGCTCTGCAGCTTTGACCAGACACTATATAATTCAGTGGTTCATGAATATTTATTAGCCTGCACCCGATCCACTCCGAAAGTAGCTGTGTATTCGAGCTGCTGACAAAAGCAGGCTTTGAAACAGAAGGGCCAGAGAGGAGAAGCAAGCTGAACATCTTCCCCTTGGTATGGCAGCTGATTCTCTGCAAGGCTGCCACGTTTTGCACCAGCAAAGACACAAGACTGGGGGGTTTGTTTTCAACGCACACTATCGGGACATGCCTGACCCGTTCGTTGTGATGCTCGATGCAGACATCCTCCATACCACAGGAAAGGTAAGGCTGAGCTCCTGCACTGCTCTGGCAGTCGTAGCAGAGCCCCTCAGTGTGTGAGATCTGGCTTGACTAAACCCACTGATGACTACCATGGGCTAAAAAGAGAGTTCCTCCTGTTTCAGCCTCATCCCTGCCCCACCAAAAAGAGAGTTCCTCCTGTTTCAGCCTCATCCCTGCCCCACCAAAAAGAGAGTTCCTCCTGTTTCAGCCTCATCCCTGCCCCACTAACCAAAAGTATACCAGGCAGTGCTCCTGGGGGAAGCCACAAAGAAAGGACAGACCTGATGGAGTTGTTGGTCACATCTGGGTCCTTGGCAGAAATGATCTGTATGGTGGTTCCGATCTCCACGTCCTCGGGCACTTCCACAAAGTAGAAGCTGGGCTCAAACACAGGAGGTTCATCCACATCCTCCACGCTGATGTGGACAGTGGTGGTGTCACGGAAGGGACCCAGGTTCAGGAACCGCATTTCCAGGTGGGGGTTGGCACCTTCTACTTTCAAGGTGTAGCTTTTCTTGCTCTCAAAACTTAAAGGCTGAAGAGAAAAAAAATGTATCTAGCATTAGGCAAACTGAGCCATATGATGTAAGCGATAGAATTTTAATTTTCAGAAGTAAAAGATGCCTCTAATAGAAACTGATGCTTCTCTTTTTTAAAAAAAAAATCTTTACCATGATTTTTAATCATAAAAGTAGCAAAGATAAATATTTGCAGATAGAGACAAAGCATCGAGTGACAGTAGTATTAGAAATAACACTGTCCATATTTATTTATTTTTTAATTGACAGTTGAGCTGAAAAATCAAGGACAGATATTTGCAGGTCACTTCAGAGTACATATTCTTTCATTCTTCTAGCTGAAATGAAAATGAAAACAGCCACAACACCACTGTGCTGTGATTCACAGTGTGTTTCATTCCACTCTGGAAGACAAAAAAAAAAGCAGAGACAGTATGGGAGCACCTGAAAAATAAGGTAAAGATACAAAGAGCTGGTTGCTCAAAGAAGGGTCCTGGTGGTGTGGACAAGGATGCTCACGCATGATGTGGAGGTCCCAGTTAGGATTCTCTTTTTTCCCTGGTGAGACCAGACTCTTGTCCCCAGAGTGCCTGTCTGCCAAGCTGCTAAAGGGCTCCAGTGGGAGCAGGGCACATGGTCAGCCTCTCTTGTGGGATCCTGCTCCAGTTTGTATTAGTAATTCATCCTTTCCAGAAGTGGGGTGTTTTACCTCTTCAGTAAGTGACCTAAACACATGTTCACAATCCAGATGTGCTGGGTGCTAGGATTTGAACTTCCTCTCTGTCTAGAGAAAAGTTTTATTTCAAAGCACTACAAACTACCCCAACCTCTTCCTGCAGGAGCCTTTCCACTTTGTATTAAATACTCAAGTATTGTTAGCAACAAGGTGTGGAAATGGCTCTTTTTTTTTCTTTTCTCTCCTGAGATAATGGATAAAGGGTGGACAGCTTCCTCTGTTAGTAGTTTCATGAACTCGATTTCCTTTCTAGATAAAACTACTTATTTGGTGAACATGGGTATAGAAATAATTGATGCTGGCACTGAGTTTTTTAATAAATAATTTTTTCATCTCCCTTCTCCCTCCTTTTCACAGATCTTTGAAGAAAATCAAGCCTCTCCAAAACCTGCTTAGACCAAAAATAGAGAATTCTGTATTTAATGTGCAATTTACCAATCTTGATAAAAGACAACTAAAAGCATCTGCCAGTCAGCATGACAGTATGGAAAGATCATTCCAAAACATACAAAAATTTTCGCCAGATGAAGTACCCCTTATAGAGGACACAGTCATACTTTCCAAGTTGCAGTTAGAAGTTCCAGGCAATCCCACTGCGGTTAAATGGTCACAACCCTTTATCATCTGGGGAGTTTTAATGCTGAAAACCAGCGTAACTGGATCTCCTTAGCTGGCACAGATCCTGAACAAGACAAACTTTGAACCAGGAAAGAATTGGTCCAATTCTGAGGGTTGTCCAGTGGGACATACTCCGTTTTGTTACATGGATGGCTTTATTCAGAGTCCAGTAAGACCACTGCCATTCCCACTCAACACCTTTGCTTTTCCTATTCAGTTTTTTCTTTTTGAAGACCTACCACCAGACTGGGGCAAGGAGATGGGCAGTAAGACAGTGAAGGAAGAGGATGCCAAAGCAACTGGAAGTCAAAGGTGCAAAGATCATTACTGCAGCAGTGAAGTCCTCCTTGGCCAGCCATAACCCATCTCTTTCGTGCCCTGCTCAATAGTGCAACCAGCCAGTTCTGCAGCCATGAGATGTGTATTAGTTTAAGCAACGTCAGCAGAAGTTTCACATGTTCAGGCATGGCAAGAGTATATACCATAGGCCTCACAACACCCCCTGAATTCAGTGGAGGCTTCAGTACTTGTCTACTACCACAACAGCTTCTTTCTTCAGAAGTGGAAACATTGCAGTGACATCGAAAAGCTCACGCTTTCACAGTAGATTTACCAGTACTGATGTCCTGTACAGGAATGCCTGATGAAAGACTGGAGTTCTTGAAACTGTGAAACTAAAACTCACTCAGCATTTAGCACATGGAGGTGAGGAACGAAGACTGGAATGGGAACTGGTTTTCTTGTGCTGGGGGAGATGACAGTCCAGTATTAGAGATGCTGTGCAACGAATACAGTATGAACTGCGCAACCTGGGGCAGCAGGGTCATCTAAAACTTGCTCCTGCTGCCCTTAGTGCCACCTGGTAAATCAGTGGCTACTGCAGGCATAGTACTTGCCAGCAAGGGTTTAGCTAGAGCTACAAACATATTACCCACTGCTGCAGAGTCATTATGGTCTACCAGCTGCATATTTATGCATTGTAAAAATAGCAATAAAATATATTCACATGACCAAGCAACACTTATTGTCCATCTGGCAAGGAATGTGCGATGTGAAGCTGCCTAAACATACACTAAGAGGCCATTATATTTCATGGTTTCTCATGTGAAGAAAACTGCATGAGAAACATTGCATGTACACTAAAAAGCTAAGTTATAAAAAGAGCAGTTAAATCACAGAAACACTGAATAGCTATAAAACTCAACTACTTTATGAAAAGACATAATCACCCAGAATGATCGAGTTAGAAAAATGAGAAAAATCAAGTGTGCTAGGCCGTCATATTTTTTGATGCTCCTGGGTTCAGACCTCCTCAGTTTGCCTTGGACTCCTTCCTCGTCAACCGTGGCTTTCCCTCCTGATCCTCTCACATGCCAACGTCTCATCATCACTGCCCCCCTCATCAGATTTGTCTTCCACGGGTGGATTCAAACCTCTTTCCAACACCAGTCCTGTGGGGAGGGCAAGTAGGTTGCCTTCTCCTGTGAACCAAGCATGCTGCAAAACACAGCTGAGAGGAGAGGCATCCCATGGACACCTCTACTTGTCCTCATCCTTCTTCCTCTGGTGCTGAGATAGCCACGGGGAGGTGTGCCAGGCAGGTGGGATTTAGCAGGAGTGGCTGTGAGAAAGCGATTGAGCAGGCAGCAGCTGGGCAGGAGGGCAGCACGGGGCTCCCTGGGCATCGGGCTCCGTGCTGGCTGGGTGACCCACCACCCTGCCTCCTTCGGCAGCGCGAAAGCGAAGGCAGGGAGAAGAAAGAGGCCGTCACTGGTGTGTGTACCAGCCTGGCAGGCAGGGAGCTCCGAAGGAGCTGTAACTCTTCGGGAGGCACGCAACGTTTTGTGGGATCAGTTGGCTGAGATAGGTGGCCAGGAGATCGCAAGTGATGGTCTTATCTGTAACTGTAAATTCCAACTGTTTGATGTCCATAACAGAAGCAGGATTAGTGCTAGTTGTGTTTAGGAAATCTGTCTAGAAAAATGAAAAGTTTTGCTTTCTTGCAAAGAAGATTTCCTTGTGGGTTTAGAAATTCTTTCTATCTTTCCCTCCATTTTTATATACTTTTCTATCAACACCAGTTGATTTTTTTTTTTTTTTCCCAGTTGAGTGGATCCAAAGGACAACTTTCCTAACGTTTGGCTACTAATCATCATAATATTACAAAAAGCTACAAGCATACATAGAATTTTACAAACATTTATGTGCAGTAGATGGATTGAGCAGTGTGTACCTGACGCCAGTATGTATCTGGTGTGATTGATACTGTAAATTTTATAACTCCTGCTCCTGACATACATGAACATCTAGTAAAACTGTATTCATAATAACAAAAGTCAAGCTTATTGACCCATTTACTCCAAGGAAAGGATTTTCTTTCATCAATAAATGAGTGAAAAATTACATTAAAGTTTGCATTCAACATCTATTTCATTCCAGCAAACATGCTTAACTTTAGGGACTAGTGTGCATAAACAAGAGTTGGAGAAAGGTGAACATAAATACATGCTTAAGTGCTTTGCTGTAGGGCATAGAGGCTTGCAGGGTCAAATCTCTCCCATGTGTTGTTCCATTTTAGTGCACAATTTAGTCCCAGGCTATTTAAATGGAGACTATACTTCCTTATTAGTGCACTAGACACGCTTAGGCAGAAATATGGTTACAATTTCATAACCTAGAAACAGAGCTGAACTACTAGCATTTCTGTAAGGTTGTAGAATAAATATCCTATAGCAGAGAATCTAAACAAAATACTCCATGCCTTTCTGCATAGCCTGCGGTACGGAGTACGAGCAGTTTCACAGCTGCCATTTGAGAGACAGCTTCTTCTAGCCTAATTAGCATTTATGGATCTTGGAGCAGCAATTAAAAAAAAAACTGCCTGGGTTTTATTGGTTTATAAATAATTCTAAGGCATGCTTTACTATTGTTTGTGGGACACCGGAGTGAAAAATGTGTACAGTTCGAATGCAAATATTGATCTAATTTCTTGCGTTGTAGGATAATTAAGCTACAGAGGATATTTAAATAGATAAATAGTGAATCAGAACATTCCTTCGGTGGGAAAAGACAGGTTTATGCTAATGATGTCCCCACTTTTTAAAGGTTGCCCCTAGGAACGCAGTCTGCTTTCATTTTTCAGCAATGAATGTTGAAGAAATTGTGTTTTATAGCAGGAAAGGGGCTAATGTCAGGTAACGGGAACCAAGTGACTGCAGGCATAAGGGAACGTTGCACACATAAAACGTCACCGGGACTGCCAGTCATATAAATTACCATAAAAAGGAAACTTTACTACCTTTCTCACAGTGATGATGCCAACTTGGTAATTAGGATCAGTGTTAATATCAAAGACATCCAGTCCATCTCCATCCACGAGGCTGTATTTCATCTCCGCATTGATGCCTTCGTCCAGGTCCTTGGCAACCACGCGGCCCACCGTGGAGCTGACGGGAGCAGACTCCAGCACACTCATCTGATAATGCTCTGGCACGAGCAGCAAAGAGAGAGAGGGAAGAGGAAAAACAAGCTGTGAAAACTGCACAGCAATGCAAAGAGTACATCAGGGCAGGCCACAAAACTGCATAGCCTGCAGGGAAACCCTACACCTTTCCCTTTAAAAAGCCCCAGCTAGACTGAATTGCCTGGAAGAGTTTTATTTAGGTGTTTGTGATACCAACAAGGTTGTTCAATGGGTCCTTTTCAATACCACAGTATACCTGAAAATGGGAACTTCGACTAGAAAAACAGGGCAATTAACCCCAGTGCTGCTGCAGCCAGGATATAAAGCAGGATATGGAACAGATTTAATAGGACAGGCATCTTTTATTAGATCAGCTTGCAGAGTGGGAATAAACACACAAGTTTTGAGCACCACAAATCCTTTCTCAAGTCTGTATAAACTTCTTTTCCACCCTGAACAAGGCTTTGGGAGCTCAGAGGCTTGCCTGTTTCTTCCAAATTTATCAGTTACTCTATTAAAATATAATACCTCTCCCTACAAACCCTGTCTTGAGCACATGTGGTGCATCGCTAATTTGCTATGGCAGCAAGCCTGAGGAAAGAGAGAGGTACTATTTTAAAAATGTGTTTTAAAAATATAAATGTTGTCTCTAAAATACTTCCCTGCCATAATACTTCATGTTCAAACCTTCCCTGCTGCACTCTCTCTGTTAACTCCACCAATGATTGAGCTTTACAAGGCAGAATAACACCAAGGGAGGGGTTTGACCTGTTCTCATTTTTCTTAATCAAGAGTTTGATAACAAACAGTTACAATCCACGCCACTTTCAAAACAGGATTGGCAATGGTGTGCTCAACAAATTGCTCTGACAGAAGAAGAAAAATGAAAGTTGATGCTTTTTGCTGATCTTAGTGGAGCGCTTTGATTTGGCAGCGCAACATGTAGAAACTGAGGGAGAAGAACAGCAAGAAAAAGAACTGCAGGAGTTTTCATTTCCCAGCTAGATCAAAAAAATGGCAAAACAAAAGGGACTTGAGACTGATCTGCACCACCAAAAGAATCATCAAGCTTGAAAAGTTTCTTTCACACTTTTAACATTAATATAGAAGTATGTAGGTAAATTTGCTCTAAAATATTTTTGAAAAGAGCAAAATATTGCAAATTTTGCTTTAAGATTCACTTCCATAAGTACAAAGCAACGTTTCTGGTAAGGGTGGAGTTGCCTATTTTTGCATTCTATAAACTGTGGCTCTTACATGTCTTAGGATTCACCCGTATATTGCCAAGGTTTAGATGACCCTTTACTGGAGAGCACCCTCTACGACAACGCACTCCACACTGGCAGCACAGCTACCAGACACTCCCCTGCAGTGGCCTGGCTGAAGCATTGAATGAATTATTTTTCAGCTTCCAGCACCGCCACATGTCCCTGATTTGACAGACATCCTTTTGGAGACAGGATGAAAAGAGAATCAGGGCAGCAATTAGCAGCCAAAGGCAATGTCCATGAGCAGTCTAGGAGGACAAAAGATCTCCTTCCTTTTTTTTTTTTTTTTGTAAATTAATTTCCTACCCTTTTAAAAAAAGTGCTGGTTTGAATGATTTTGGAGGTCAGAAACCTCTTCTGAAAGACAAGCTGGTGGATGCTACATTTTGACATTTTTCTGAAGGAAAGTTCCTTCTTTGATATGAAATTCTGCCCGTCTCTAATTGTCATCGTCCTGTGTTTGAAAATGGCTGTAATGAGAGCAAACAGCAGCTGTGTAACTCAGCCACCCTCTTTTTGCCCGTCCCGACGCAGCGGGTACTCACTCTGTGGAAATCTGGGGGGGTTGTCATTGACATCAGAGAGGGTGATGTTGACTGTGGTTGTTCCAGCTAATCCTCCCAGCTGTCCACCCATATCCTTGGCCTGGATAATCACTTCGTAATATTCTTTTGCTTCTCTGTCCATGTTCATTAGAGCTGTCCTAATTAAGCCTGAGATGGAAGGAGGAAAGGGGTTTGAGGAACGAAGGAAACGGTGGTTAAGGAGTACAAAACCAAGGTGGGGTGCTCCTGCTCCAGCATCGTACTCCACGTGTCAAGAACGAGAGCAGGCTCTGCATTCAGTCTCACCTTTCCGAGCAGAGTAAAACTCACCCAAACTAAATCTAGGTTAACAGAAGGTGTGAATTTTAGAGAAGCCCAGTTAAAACGCACCAGCTGTGGAGCAGGCTGGCTGTTCACAATTAAATGCTGCCTTCCAAGGGAGCAGGAAAAGCACTTAGGGAACACCGTGTGCTACGCTGGATTAAGGCTAAATACACCCCCACAAAAGGTGGAAGTGATGTGATGAGTTAAGAGACACATCCAGACGAGTTTCCCAGAGTGTCCCTACACACGCGGTCCCGGAGGCAAGCTGGCAAAGCTTTGCTGCGGTCCTTCGGGATCCGCGCTGGGGGATGCTGGGGGATGCGAGCGCGGGATTTGGGGAGACGCCGAAGGTCGGGGCACCCCTTCCTTCGGGGTAACACTACTGCGGGAGGACGTGAGGTGGCAGCAACGCTTCTCTGATGGCGGCTGCGAGGAGCC